AACCAGTAAGAGGTCTGAACCATTAAATGCTGAACTAGTAAGAGGTCTGAACCATTAAAAGCTAGTATATTGTTTAACTATTCAGAGGCAAATGTCTGATCAATTCAGATAAGAGCTCTTAACCATTCAGACTCTGTATAATACTTAACCATTCAGAGGCAAATCTCTTAACTATTCAGACATCTGAACCATTAAGAGGCTAAAACAAACAGTCTGAACTATTAAGTGCTGAATCATTCAGACATCTGAACCATTAAGAGGCTGAAACAAACAGCCCCTAAATTTGATACAGCCAACAAAACAACTTTTTTTGTATAAACTTGTACATTTGAGTTTGTTATTATATACTCCTCAGTCCCTCCGTCCCCAATTTGATTACAAATTGCGGGTTACGGAGTAAAAATTTTTACTTTTTGAAATCATTTTATTTACAAATTGGAATATCAATAAGGTATAAAAATTACATATTCAAAAACTACGTCAAAAGTTCTACAAAACAAGAGGTGATAAGAATATTTTATTTTATCAAATACTTAATGAAATTGCGTAAACAAACAAAAGTTATCGAGAGGAGAGAAAAAAAATTGTAATCTATTTAGGGACAAAGGTAGTATTTTTTAAATTTATAAAAATAATATGAAACATCCTATCCTATCCTATATATATATGTAAAAGAGGGTTTCAAAGTTGTGGTGACAACACGTGTCATGCCACACGTGCATACTAATGACACGTGTCCCGCCACGCGTATATCACATGACACATGTACGTCCATCCATGCATGTGAGTTAATTTTGTATTAAATAATTCGTATTTTTATTTTTTATAAACTCTTCACTTTCCAACAATAAAAAACTATTATTTTTATTAACTTTTTATAAACTCTTCACTTTCTGATTATGTTAAAATCAATTTATTGTTTTGACGTATCTTAAAAATATATGCACGATTATTTTATAATTTTAGAAAACTTATGTATATAATTTAATGATTAAAAATATGTTGCTTATAATTTTTAAAATTATCCATCATATCAAAAAAAACTAATTACATATAAATTTTATCACACGTGCATCTTTATTAAATTCATAACATATTTTAGTTGTTTTTCTTGATACATTACTTATTTTACTATATTTTTTTCAGCAAACTAAACAAAGTAAAAATTTAATTGAAGGATTACATGTGGCACATACAAATATGCATTATCTAATGATGTGACATTCCTTAATTGATCCATTCGAGATTTTTATATTAATTTTTATTAATTAAAACAATTTTCATTATTATTTTATTTGATGACCATTAATTTTGCATAAAATGTTTATGTCATGGAGGCACTACACCTCCCCACATGTCATGTGGCACATGTATATATTTATTATTATTAAATTTTTATAAAAACTTCACTTTCTTAC